CCCCCCCCCCCCCCCATAATATCAAACTCTCTTCTATGCCATTGGAGGAAGTAATGGAATTGATCTCCAAAGTAAGTTACTGGAGGCCCTCCATGCTGTAAAGATTCCAGAATGTTCCAAAGACACAGAGCTCATTTGCTTCAACCAACAAATGACCTAATAGCATCACAGCTTTAAAACAAAACAAGCAGAGGTGGAGATTTCAGATCCAGACAAATCCAGACCAAGATTTTGTTTCAACCAACAGGTTGAGTATAAAGAGTCACAGTCACAGAGTACACACCTGGGGAGCATTTCCCAAAACCATAGTTGCTAATGTTAGCAACTTACATGGTTCGAACTACAGTTCTCGAGCTGTAATTAGAAGCTTAGTTCTGGGTAAATACGTCAGGGATGATGGAAAATGCAGTCTAAGAAGGGTATACTCCCTGTGTAAGTAAGAAATTTAATAATCTTTAATACCTAATAAGGAATAATTTAGCTGTACGATCACATATAATATGAAGTGGCCTGAAAATGTAGTTTGAAACGTAATTGTTGTGTGAGTCTCTGGTCATAAGTACGGTATGATTGTACATTAGATCGACCAAATTGGCAACTGTCTGTAGTGAGCAATAAGGAGACGCCGGCGGACTGCAAAGTATTGTATTAGCACAGGGATGGCTAATTTTATCCAGAAAGGGCCGTTTGGTATGCAGCTTTTCTCTGCAACTCCGTACTTAGAGTAGTGCACAGAGGACTGATCGACTGAAGAGTTCGCACACAACCGATCGAATGGTTATCCCAAAAAAACCTGCAAACACACCGGCCCTTTCTGGATAAGATTGCCTACCCCTGTAGTACCATATGCAGTTAGTGTGCATTGCTTGGTAAAGGATGCTGTGTACCCAGTGGTCATTTCACCACATACAATAAAAAAAAATAGAGAAATAATAAAAAATGGTTAGTTTGAACTACCATAGTACGACGCATCGTTAATGCTAACTTCCGTCGTCGTTTGGGAAACGTACCCCTGGTCGGTTGAATCTTGGTCTGGATTTGTTCTCTCTGGGCCTGAAATCACCACCTCCGAGAACAAGATGTGATTCCTATGCAAATTAAATCATTTTGTCGGTAATGATATCAAAAGCTCTTCTTGCACTACAGAGAACTGTCCTTTTCCTTAAATGGCTACCGTTTCTCTCCTCATAGCGGATTTCGGGGTGTCGGCGAAAAACACCAAAACTTTGCAAAGAAGAGATTCATTCATAGGAACGCCATACTGGTGAGTGAAATCATTTGAATATTAGAACATCAATGCATATACAGTATCCCTTGTTTACCAGCTGTTACTTCTCTGTAACCTCATTTCTTGGAGGCCTTTGAGAAATGGTTTCAGGTTTCCGACATCGTGTTACTTGTCGGTGACTTGGTACCATTCCTTTGTCTCGGATCATTTTGGCTCATGTGTATGACTTCACCGAGTCGGTCTGTCATCTCTTAGCCCTGTCATCTGTGGTACAGTATGTTGTTGGACCTTGTCCCCTGATGTTTCACGATGTGGGTCAGGTTTTTTTTCTCTGCGATCATAGTGCAGATTAATCATTGGCTAGCAGCCTCCCGACTTAATGTTGAACTGTATTCCTGCAAAATATATTCTGCTGCCAAGGGAAAGGAGTTTTAAATGTCCGAAACCCCCTATCAATGGGTTTATTTGCTTAGTAAGCGTTTTTTTGCATCTGAATCATAAATAGTACTTGTATTCATAATAGATGCAGATTATGGCACCTCTTGACAGATAATTTTCAAGTTTTATTATAATCGTATTTATTGCTTTAAATGTATTTTTTGTGGGAACGTACTTTTCTTGATAATATTTCACCTGATTAGAGAGGCTCTGAACAGATGCTCTGTTTGGTGATGTTGAGCAAGAGACACCTACTATTGCTCTGCCTAGTCCCTACTCAGAATTGGATAGTACTCAGTACTCATATAGGGTGTAGATTTGGATGTAGGTCTGAAAGAATCATTGGTTTAAACGGGTTGGCATGTGGCTCAGCAGGATAGGAGGCTGGCTTGTGATTGGAGGGTCGGCAGTTCAAATTCCTGGATTGGTCAAACGACTTGGGCCCTTGAGCCGAGGCCCTTAGTCACTGGAGTAACTGGGGGTTATCTGACCCTGCTTTTGCAAAAAAAAAAAAAAAAAAAAAAAAAAAAAAAGCATGTTGCTATTCAGTTGGGCGATATCTGAGTTTTTTTTACGCTATCAGACCGTCCTGACATTATGCAGCGGTATTTTGATACAGTTTTCAAAAGCAACTAATGGCGAAATTCATGCCCAAAACTAATGACCTTCAGGTCAGTTGTTCAATCCCTGGTGTGAGGAGTCTTCAGCCAATCAGTCCTCTAATCGGTCATCTAAATAGGGAGTTGCACTGAAAACCCGCACACACAGTGGCCTTTTCTGGATAAGATTGTCCACCCCTGCCGTATTACCCAAGCCTTTTTCCTATGGATAAAGCCTTTAGCCTCTGCTAAATAAATGGATAATGGCTTCTGCTAAATGATGTATTGTAAATGTTTTTGCTCCCAGAAGCAAATGTACATTGTGATGTCACCTTATCGGTATGTCCGAAGCGTAACTGAAGGTGAGGTGTAAACCCAGAGCTTCTGAGTTAGGCTTTGATGGGTCCTAAGTTTTGCCATATCTATGTCCACGTGTTCAGGATGGCACCTGAGGTGGTGATGTGTGAGACGATGAAGGATTCCCCGTACGACTACAAGGCGGACATCTGGTCGCTGGGCATCACGCTGATTGAGCTGGCGCAGATTGAGCCCCCCCACCATGAGCTGAACCCCATGAGAGTCCTGCTGAAGATCGCCAAGTCTGACCCGCCCATGCTGGAGCAGCCGACCAAATGGTGAGCGTGGACACGCGGAGACCCAAACAACCAGGCGGACACGTGGATGGAGAATGAAAACTAAAGAAGCTTTGGGATGGGGATCTGTGGGGGAAAATGACACTGAACACATGTGGAGAAACTAGACAGCCACAGAAATGTTCATGTGTAGATGAACACAGATGGGGAAGCTGAACCGACTTTGATGTGGAAAAATTGTGTCATTCCTGCAAGTCCACTTAAGTACTTGTTTTCTACTAGCCTTAGATGCTAAAATCTGTGCAGGATATAATGGCAGACTTATCTAGACAAAATGCTGCTTTTCCACCCGGATTAATGTGCCAGCGATTGTGTTTTAAAGGTCACAGGAATTCAAGGATTTCCTGAGAAAGTCTTTAGAAAAGAACCCAGAGAGTCGGCCCACTGCAGCCCAACTGCTTCAGGTATGGGGGTGTTATTTAAGACCAAACTGTAGAATTTTTATTAGGATTTTTAAGTGGTCTTCCTTTTTGCACAATTGACAGGTTTGTCTGGTTTTGTCAGTCGTTGCATATCATAAAGGGGATGATCTTTCTGTATCTGGTGCTACGTAAGTGGCCATACTAGGAGTCAGACTCAAACCTGGGGGGGGGGGGGGTTGGGGGTCAGCTGAACTCCTAGATCAGGGGTGCCCAACTCCAGTCCTGGGGGGCTGGAGCCCTGTGTAGCTTAGTTCTTTCCCTGTTCCACCATAAATGATTCAGCTCAAGAGCTGTGTGGTAATTAGCGCGAGGAGTTGAATCAGGTGTGTTAAACGAGGGGCAACCCAAAAATGTGCAGGGCTCCGGCCCCCCAGGACTGCAGTCGGGCACCCCTGACCTAGATGATCAGGTGGTGAGGAGGTTTTTGGGAGGGGGTGTGTTAAATATCCTGCCTTGACAGCAGTTTTTGCTTTAACATGCGAGTCTAGTGGGATTTCCTGTAGCGAACTGAAGCATGTAAACAGGAACCTTCGACAGGCTACAGAAATTAGTGCTCAAAACCTAAAGTTTCACACTGAGCCACCTAGTCTGACACACCGCGCAGTTTAGCGGCACTTTGCCACGGTTACGTGCATGTTAGCTAGCGCATGAAGTCTTCTGATATTTTAAATGCGGGCCCCCTTCTGCAATAAGATATTGTAGCTCGACGCCAACTGCAAGTTACGCATCATTCGAATGGGTTCGTTTTGTTGATTAAGTGCGTCTTTATTATTCAGTTAATTAATTGCAGTCACCGGAGAAGTGAAAGGCCTCGCCGGCGTTTTCCGCGCCGATGCGCTAGAAGTCTGTTCTCTTCACGCTCGATCCATTTACGGGAGGGTCACGCGTGCCAGCTGTGAGCAGTCAAGCTGCCAGCAGTGTCAGTTTCCTGAATAATGCATGGGCCCTGTATTACCTGTCCACAATGCGGCAGCGCTCGTCTGCTTTCTGTAACCGGCCTGTGCCAGTTTCCATTTCTAAGGTAGCTAGTAGCATGTCGGCATGAATATTTATTTGTTCCTGCCGGCGGTTTTCCTCCAGTGAAAGTGCCCGCCACTTTCCCGGCTGGTACCCCAGCGATCCCAGTTTGGTGCTGATGTTAACCCTCTTTGTCCCAGCACCCCTTCGTGTCCCCGGTGAAGACCAACCGGCCGTTGCGTGACCTGGTCGCCGAAGCGAAGGCAGAAGTCATGGAGGAAATCGAAGACGACAGGGAGGAGGCCGAGGATGACGACCCGGCGGAGGTCACCCCTGTGAGTAGAGGCTCCCCTCTCCACCTCACTCCATCTTTGTCTTCTTGGACCTCTCTATCACTCCCTTTTAATTAAACATCCTGTATTTCCATGTGGATCAGTAAGGAGCATCAGTGCCGCCGGGGTCCACCTTACTGGCAATACACCCAGCTCTGATTTATGTGCTAGTCTTCTTCGGAGCTCCGTAAATGTGTTTTTACTCTGAGCTTCATTGAACTCCGCCCTGTCCTTTTAAAAATGAATCAACCAGTCTATGGGGTTTTGCATCTCACCTGAAACAACACTGGTTTTCGGTCCTGTGATTCGGCCGCCACTTGTGGGAGTGGCCTGTGTGGGAGTGGCCTGTGTGGGAGTGGCCTGTGTGGGAGTGGCCTGCAACATTGCTGTTCATACCCATGGCGTGTCACGTGCTCCTCCCAGATAACACTGGAACATGCTTATTGTACTATGTGTAATTATTTCACTATCACAGTGCGCACATAATGTACCAGAACCTCGAGTTCGTGTCAGGAGCAGTGATGGTCAATATACTGTAGGAAGGGACCACTTTGAAGGCCATCAGGAAAACCTGGGTTTATTTTTAGACTTTCATTCAGGTTGGAAATGTTGGCACAAACTACCCCCCCGTGCCCGAGGCTAAATCGAGGCTTTCAGCGAGCGCTTGTTGTCCTGAACTAGTTTCCAAATCAGTCTGGTTTATCCCTGTCAGCCAGTGGTCTGCCATTCTGGCCTGACTGCTGACACTTGGAAAGTTGAGCAGATCCCCCCCCCCCCCCCCAAAAAAAAGGCACTCCAGGCATCTGACACGTTAGTCGGACCTGGGTGACAGGGAACAAAAACGCTGGTAGGCCCAGTCACACGCCTATGACGCTAATCCCACCCCCCCACACACACATAGGCACATGGTCCGTCCCGGGGGCCAAAGCTGATACCTGGAGAGGGAAACGTTTCGTGGCGGAAGGCCATTGCTTTAATTTGTCCCATTACCTCCCTCGAGACGAGTTAAGTGTGTTTATCCGAAGTGCGATATGAATGAAAGGCTGATTCAGACTAGCCGGGCCACATTCCCTCCCCCCATCTAGGTGGCCACATGTAATGGAGAAGTTTGGCCACAGCACAAGAAGTTATTCTGCATGTCTATTGGATTAGTTTCTGTTATTTCACGCTTTTGTGTTAATCTGCTAAAGATATGCCAATTAGTTGAATGCTGATACGGTGGTGAACTTGGTGTCGACGGCTGCTTGTTGTTTTTATCCAGGCTCCTTGCAAAGATCCTTCGGAAACCAGTCAAACCAGTCTGGAGGGTGACCGCACCGCTGGCGTGCCCGTCAAGCTGCCAGAGGACGGGACGAAGGCCCCGGACCTGAGCGACCTGCCTAACAAGCTGGAGAATGGCCTCCCCGATGAGGAGGTCGGGAGCGGAGACCCCGACAAACCCGAGAGCGACTCCTCGGAGAAGACCGCCAACTCCGACTCGGGGATCGAGGACGGGAAGAGCACCCCAACATCTGAGGAGGGCAAATTGGTAGTGCTGCCCGAAGCGGAGCTACCGTCCTCGCCATCGCCCCCTGCAGGAGGCAAGGAAGAGTTGCATGATACACAGCGCCCTCTTGACCATCCTCAGGCCTACGAGGTCCAACCTCATCCCGAGCAGGTCCGGAACTCGGGGGGCAGCGGGATCCTGGAGTACTTGGATAACAGGCGCATGCGAGGCAGCAGCAGCGGCTCCAAGCGCTACTCGGACACGGGCAGCCTGTGTGAGAATATGGACATGAACCTCAACCTCTCGGGGGACATTTGCGTTAACAAGGAGAGCGGCTCCATATCTATCAAGGTGAGGGCACATCGTCTTAGGAAATCTTGTCCTAGGGGGTTTGGCTGGTGTGTGGGTACTCCCTGGGAGGGGGTGGTAAACATCAGGGCACCGCCCTTTGAGGCCACAGTATTTACCAGGCCTTCCCACGTTCCGAGCCAGCTCCGTCAAAAGCCACCTTGTTGAGGGAACTTAAGGAGGGAGAAATGGGCACATGGGCTTGGGCCCGGGCAAGGAGACCAGGAAAAGACACGTTCTGAAGCTTGAGTTGGGTGGAAACATCTGACAAAGAAAGCCCTGTCTTCAGCTTTCATGGGGAGGGGAAAAAAAAGTGAGGATTTCATTTCTGTTTTCAGTAGTCATGCGGCAGGACTCAAGAAACAAGCCGTCCTTTACGTTCCGTCCAGAACAGGAAATGCAGTGTTGTGAAATTGCTCATAGTACATAAGCTGTAATGTGTGGATCATTCCTTCCATAAGAGTCTTTGGTTGTGTCGCTTTCACAGTGTCGACGCCCTCTTTGAATTAATACAATGTTCTCCATTCATCTGGGCCAGTAGATGTTTTGTCTTGACCTTTATTTTTCATTGTTGTTAGTTTTCTATACTGCCATTGTGATTGGCCGTTTCTGGTCAGTTATGGGCCGCCATCTTTGGCATTCCAATCACAGCGTGTAGCTAAATTCTTTCATTCGTTAATCTAGAGCAGATCATTCGCCGGTTCACTCAATCATGTCAAACTCGCATGGTTAATAAGGGGTTCAGTGCGCAGGAGCACAATATGCGACGCATTACTCAAAAACGGGCGGGTTTAATGAGGGGGCTCGTCTGGGGGCCTTGTGTTGCTCAGCGGGTTATGCCAGTGATCGGAAGGGCGTTGGTTTGAATCCCGTGCTCAGCAGAGTAGCCACATCTTTGTTGGGCCCATGAACAAGGTCCTTAATCCACCCCCCCCCCCCCCCCCCCCCCCCCAAACAAAAAACGCAATCCAGACCTCATGCTTCGCTCTCAACTCTTTATGTGTACATGTTTTAAAGGAGAGCAAGATGGGATATGCAAAAAAAAACAAAAAAAAAAAACATTCCAATGTACTTGTACTCATGCGTGTGCAAATGGCAGATGGTGGTCCTTCCGTGAAGCGATCACCCTGTGAAGTAGCAGCAGAGTAGTGAGGCTCCTGGGGCACGTGTACACTGCAAGTGTTTACACACTTGTTCACTTGTAAAGACACCAGTGCGTTGTCTCCGGGCAGCATCTCTGTGAGACTAGCCAAGCGGTATCCCTAGTATGCGGAATATTGGCCCACGGGAAATACTTGCCTGCACGGATGTTTATTCAGCTGCTTCTGGTTTTATTGACACTTCATTTTCACTCGTCTTACTTTATAGTATCTCTTAAAGTTGTCCCGCATAAAGCTGTGAATCTTTACCAGACTTTGCGAATGATTCCAGTATTAGTGACACATCAAGCGATGAGTAAGATTTCACTGCGGGCCTGGTTCTTCTGGAGGGAAGTTCTTGGGTGTCTTATGTTGGAGTTTCTTGATATGACTCACGGGGGTATAGATATGAACAGAGCTATCATGAGGGAAGGAACTGGCCTGGTTGGGTCTGGTCCAAAACTTGGGCTGTTCGTGGGAGACTCGCTTTGTTGGTCCACACCCTGACCCAGTGAGCCCCCCCCAATACCAGTGGGCCCCCCCAATACCAGATCTCACCACTGCCCTGTTTCCCTCCAGAACGGATTCTCCAGCAAGACTCTGAAACGCACCAGGAAGTTTTTGATCGACGGCGTGGAGGTCAGCGTGACCACATCTAAGATCATCGGCGACGATGAAAAGAAAGATGAAGAGATGCGATTCCTCAGGCGAGTAAAAGCAAGGGGAATCCTGGGAACAGCCATTTAACAACAAAGAGGAAAAAAAACTTGCTTTTAAGAATAAATGTTAACTCGAGCATATAACAGTAGATTTTCCCAGATCAGAGAATAACAAGAACTTCTGTGTTTATCATGCATTGACAGACTAGTTTTAAAGGTGTTGAGAGCGTTTAAAGGTTTTGAAGATGTTAGAGCTGGGATGCCAATAGTTTTGGTCTGCTGCCATCTAATGGTGACGGGCTGTTACTACACCCTGTGCTGGGTGTCAGCAACTGGCAATTGCTCATACGTCCGAGAATAATGCCTAGTATATGATTAAAGAGGTGTGGCTTTCCCACAAACCTTGGATGAGAAGAATGTCTGAACTGTTTTTTTCCCCCATAAGATTTATACTTATACTTTCTAAAATTTGTTGTCCGCTTTCATTTAATTCTAACTCCGCGTGTGCGTCCTCAGGCGTCAAGAACTGAGAGAGCTGCGCTTCCTACAGAAGGAGGAGCACCGTGCTCAGACCCAGCTGAATGCCAAGCTGCACATGCAGCGAGAACAGCTGCAGCGTCGCCTTGACCAGGAGATGCATGTGAGCTTCTTCTCCTGCCCCTTCCTACTTCATACACTCACACATCACTTCCCCACACAGAAAATCCTTCTTACAAGGTCGATTTTTGAGGGAGCTGACTCCCCCTACTGGTACAGTTTGGTATTTCAAGTTAGTACTACAACACTGCCCCCTTCTGTCCACTCCACCAGTCGCCACCCATGGAGCTAGAGAGTCCCTTAACATATTATGTGACCTTTAGTGCCCATTTTGATGTGATTCCATTATGAGGTAACAAGAGGTTTTGGGAACCAAAAGTTTCATTCTATGTCACTGAGTTCTATCTACCTCAGCATTTATATTGTATTAAGGAACTGGTTTGTCAGTAATCCACTAGAGATGGGAATTTAGGGTAGTATGGAGATTGATGGGGACTTGACAGGGCAGGTCAGGACAGAATAGGTCTGGGCCTGGTGACCACCGTTATCTCCTTGTCCTTCTTGGGGTGTGGTTGGAATTGTGAGCCGATAGAATAAATCACTAGATTTGCCTTGTCTGCAGTTTCATGATGGCCATGTTTGTCCCTTGACTTGAACTCCCAGTATACATTCCTGAGGCGTATCTTGATGTACTGCTCCATCCTTTCAGGCCAGGAAAAAGTTCTACGACACAGAGCTGGAAAACCTAGAGAGACACCAGAAGCAGACCATCGAGAAGATGGAGACGGACCACACGGTGCGTCTGCGGGACGAGACCAAGCGTATCCGGGGCGAGCAGGACAAGGAGCTGAGCAAGTTCCACGAGCAAGTCAAGCAGAGGAAGAAGGAGGTGGGCTTGTGGAAATGGGGAGGGACAGTGACCTTCTTACGTTGAAGGACGTGTGAATGAAATGAGAGTCGGGATCCGACTTGTCCTAATGATTTATTCTTCTGTAGGTGAAGCATGAGGTGGAAAAGCTGCCTCGAAACCAGCGAAAGGATAGCATGAAGCAGCGCATGGCCGAGTTCCAGTACGCGAAGGAGACGGAGGTATGTAGCAATGAAAGACACCAAACGCCAAGACGATTGGTGAGAGGGGGGTGTCGGGCCATGCAGTCGGGCTTCAGGTTTCAAGTTTAGATGTTTATTGTCACGCGTGTATCGAGGAACACAGTGAAATTCCTGTGCTACAGATGTGGGGGGTGGGGATAATTGAACAAACTGCAGTGCAATACGGGACAAGCTGCAGTGCAATACGGGACAAGCTGCAGTGCAATACGGGACAAGCTGCAGTGCAATAC